CCCCTGGGCACTAATATGCAATATGTTTCCCTCAAGCAAATACGTGTACTATATTGTATGAAATATTGGAGTAAGGCGATCAGTTTGTACACTGAATGTTAGAGTATTCTGAACTGACCAGTTCGAGTATCGTCTATGTCGCACTGCAGCCATTCGTGATATTCCTTTCATCTGATTTCTTGACATACCTTATCACCATCAGTGAATAATAGAAATTCGGGAGTACTCCTTTTGCTTGATCATTTATAACAAGCAAGAAATTGTAAGGACCCAGTACTGGGGCTTGTGGTACACAGCACTCCTTCTACTTTGCGGTAGATTGATTTCCGGATATTCGCCGCCAACCGACGCTCGTGTAGAAAGTAGCCTATTCAACACTAGTTCGAATCGCCAATACCAGAATTTTAACGTTTATACATAAGAATTCATTGGGTTAATCGAGCAGATGGCTTCTCCTCCACCACCAACTGCTACAGTCCAGCCATTGCGGGAATTAGTAGTTTGTACTTCATGAGTGCTGGTGACGAATGCCGTGTGTCTGCCGAACCATTATGTTATACTTTTAGATATTCAATCAGTGCCTCCTCGCTATCTAAAAGCAATAAAAGCAGCGTTATCTGATGGTAATTGGAAGGATCAGTACGACTAACTCCCTTACAAATAGTGGATAATGCTGCCCCTCGCTACCACATTATGGAAATGTGGTTCTCCTCTAGACAGCGCTGTTAGAATGTAATCAGAGGTTGTCATTTAACTGGTTGCTGTCTGTAGACCATTTGATCGGATCTTATCGGGACCAGGGTAGTTGTGGGTACGGAGGACAACCGCTTACTTAACGCGCCCCAAGAACTAAACTTGATATTAGATAAAGCTGACGAAGAGGCAAAAGAAATAGGGCTCATGTTCGTGCACGTTACGCCCTAGAATGTATGTCAGCAAGGAAATCGTATGATATAGGCTGCCTCCTTTTCTGATCGCGCGTACCCGTCTGTCGGGACGGGCACTGGGATTTCGCGCCGCGACTTACGTAGGCCATTACATACATGTATAAGTTTGTGGTCCGTATGGAATCGCTTCAATAACCCATACCGTTGCGTCAACTTGCCCTCGTGGATCAATTTCACAGAGAAGTTGCGCTGTTCCACGTTCGCATTCCATGTGTCAGCATTTGACAGTCGTTGTGAACTCTCCATGCAAAATACCACAGATACATGTATTTGCATGTTCTGCTCCCCAGAAATGACATTTGATTTGATGATAAAATGAGTTCCGTTCTGGTGCGTGAGCCACCACTTCGCTAAACGTCTTTGTGAAGGTTGCCTATGCAACTTCTGGGTGGGATACAGTTTAAAAAAGTACAAATCCTTAGCAAGCAAGGATAACACTTTAGTGTGATAGTCTTCACTGTATCATTCTGCTATGCGAGATAGTCCGCGTAGTACATATAGTCAAACACTGGAGGAACATGTTCACGGAGACCTAATAGTGTGCATGTAAGTCTTATGTTAACAAAGCGTTCTAGGTTGGTGGGGAAAAAATTTAGAGTCGACAGCTTGTTAGCAGTTTGACATCTAGCGGTATAATTTAGGTGGTTGTACAGAGGACAGTTGGAAATTAGCAATTTTATAATGGTTAAAAGTGTACACCGTCTATTCCAGGTACTTCCAGGTCGTACACAAACTTCAGCCGCGATAGGACTGTGGCTGTATGAATTGTTCAAAGCAACCTGTAGGAAGTGGTACAGGTTGGAGTCTATTTCACACACAGCATTTGACGGACGGTAAATTAAGGTTACGAGACCTGCGTCCTTGTTCGGTAACCGCAGCTACCACGAAGACGAATGAGGGACGTTGAACTCCGAATGCTCAATAAATTCAAATCGAAGTTTAGCCATGTAATAAAGAATTACCCCATCACGGCGAATGGTTTCGGCGGGGCTCTCAGCTACTTACTACTCCACTGTAAAAATGGTAAGTGCAATGTTGAATCATTTACATAACCACAGAAGTAGTGGTTTACTTCCTCTGCATCCCGAGCAGTGTGAAATTTCTGACGACTAAACCCAGGATGTTCATCGATGCTAAATTTAGCGGCAATTATTCCTTCTAAGTACAGATTGATATGATGATATAAAACGAAGTGTTAATAAAATAGTGAATGTTAGCACATGCGTTGATAAATGCGGTGGACAGGAAACACAAAGCAGGCCAAATTTTAAAGCCCGGCCAACCCGTGAAAAAACGCACTTTAATTAATTTATATGTAAAGGTAAGCAGAAGCCGATGAGAACTCCAAATACACGATGGTAGATATCTACTTATAAGTTGCTTGCAGCTATTTTTATATAATCAGTTTACTCAACAAACTGCTAGCCTATATATTTACTTTCTTTTTGCTGCTTGTATGATAACTGACATCAGCTAATTTGAGTTCCTCGAAACGTAATCGATAGTGTTGCAATGCACTTCCGAAATCCGACAGTTTCGTAAAAGTTGAACCGTGCATATGGAAATGAGTATTCGGCATATCCTCGTTCATTACCTACAGATTATTCCACGCAAGATTCGTACACACTATCCAGCCCACTATCATGAAACCCGACCACGCATTTGGTGCGTCTGGATGGTGACTCAACGCATTCTGTACTTTCATCGTGGTAAAACTTCAATGCTTCGACTGGCTGAGCAATAGGTGAAACAGTGAGTTTTCTGTACTTGAGCACACGGAATAGGAGGATAAGAAGAGGCACCGATTTTCTATGTAGCTGTCCCCTTATGCTGCATCATGCGATCGGGACCGCGTTTAGCCTTCTTGTACTTTAGATAAGTGAATGCATTATTTCGTGAAAGCGCCTTCGATTGAAGTGCCACATTTTTCCTAAACCAGTATTGCGACTTTGATCCGTCTTCTGCATGCACTAGAGGAAAGTAGCAAAACAACCTCCACAATCACATCGGTATCACGCGTGTGTGGTACTTCACATCTCGCCCGGCTTCCCTCCGTTAGATATTCGTTCTCCTGCTCCACAAACCGTTAAGGCTTGACAATACGACGTTGCAGACACAGCCGACAAACCTACATTATGTTAAGAAAAGCTACCAAATGAATCGATTCGCTGTAATGGTGACCGCAGTGTCAATGACAATAGAACCGCAATCATAAAATTTATGCAATTCTTTCAATTTTCAACATTCCCCCTAAGCCTTGCAGCTAAGTATGTTACGCATAATTCTCATCTCCCAAAAGACTCCTCACCTATCTCAATGACGATGGAATTAAGTCACGACATAGACATTGTAGCAAGTTGAGCAGATGCACATGCGTTTTCCACCTATATCCCAAAGACCCCACATGCCAAAGGAATGTAAAGCAGACTTGGGTTCACTACCAGGATGTATAATGGGCTGCATGCGAAAGCGCTAAAGAACAGATTGATCGGGCTCAACCCGGGGCCAAGCGAAAGCACACTGAGAGTGGCTCCCACACATATTCCGCGATAGCAGGTGGTACTATTGGTTCAGCGCACCTGTACGTGAAAACACAAGCGATTTGTGTGTTTGCGATCCATTGCACATGAATGAATCGCACCGCATACCATGATTCATTTTGCACGCCAACCAATTTCACATCGGCTGTCTAACGGCTGATTGGTTGAGGTGGCTTAGCGTACTTTGGGTGATCGAATCTATCAGCACTCATTCGACTGAGGGAATGTTGGCCGACGACAACTTTTCAATATCTGTTACACCAAAAGATGTACTGTATATTATGTGTAAGTTCAATTTCAGTTTCTTTTGTCTTACATTTAATAGTTCCTAAGCATATTTTGGATTTCTGTTTGGTCCTTACTTGGGCGCAGTTCAAAAAGCTGATAACCAAGTTGATATTTTCAATCCTGATTCTTCTATATATGCCACAATATCTAATATTTTGGTAAAAATGTGTTGTGATCCAACATGGGATGTCCGATATTTTCAGTGTTTTTTCTAGTAGAAAAGGAGCTATGTTGTAATGTTTGGACTCTCGTTTACTTTGATGTCGATCTTGGTAATTCGAATCAATAGGACCGTATTCCTAATGCAGGGACTACGGTGTGGATAACACTTGGGACGTATCGATCGCCGGATAACGCTTTTGTCTCTGAGCACTTGATATGTTTGTTCACGGCTTAGTAAAGCTGCCATGAATAATGAACTTCATTCTTGAGTACCCACCATTTATTTGGATGGCAACGGTCAATCCATTATTCTATGCCAATAGTGAGGGAGATGACCATTCCAATTTGTCTAAGATACTCTTATCCAGTCAGGTTGTGCGCACAAGTAAACGTGTTTTATCGTCGTCTCCTCTGTTTGACGCTGATTGATAGAACGACGAACCTGCCAAATTCGAACTTCTAAGCAACAGTTGTAATGCCGGTCCTAAGAATGCAGGAGCTTGTTCTGGGAACATGGATGGTGAAATGAGATGAAAAGCTTCGGAATTGCTGTAATGACATGGAATGTAAATGTTACTTTTAGTTTACCCGTTTCACGATCTTCGTGGATGGATAGGCGTTGAACAAATTCTCGAGTTTCGGCCTACTTCTAGCTCTAGTTGCTTTAACTGAAAGGCCATTTATCTCCGATATTGAAACAATAGCTCAGGGGAAGTGTAGAATGGTGAATTTGTTACAGGTATTAAAACAAATGCCTAATATTGTAACCATGGAAGCATAATTGGCCTAGTGCAGTAGAAGAAGGTGTGGAAACGGAGAGCACATAACTGCAAATGCAATCGTTTGACAGTTATAGCATGGTAGCAACACGCAAAGTGGTTATTCCAAACTAAACACATGTATTATTCCACTGCCCGTAACTTGAGGGGACATAAGAGACATAGAAGCAGTACCAATCTAAATTCTAATTAACTGTGTTGTGCGTAATGTGCCGAAATCACAAGTGAAAATGTCCATAAGTAATGTGGGAATCCAGCGGACATCTATATGAAGGAAAATGTGGCGCGTGGAAATGCAGTCGCAGTAGGTTTAGCACACGCGCACAATTTGCTTACACTGTGCCGTACCACAAAATGTAGGTAAATTCATTCATTGCAGGTTATGGAATATTTCATAAATCTGTGTTAAATCCGGCAACATAAGTGAAACATGCGGAAAGTCAGCAGATCATTTGATGATTGAATTTAGTGAATTAAGCGCAAGCTCTAGCAGTAAACCAAGCGGCATTACTCAGTGGCAGAATTCAATTGGAGAACTCATGTACATGCTATTTTGCTTATACTATTCATGTTAATGAGCCCGGACTTTGCTGACGTGCAGGTACAGCATTGTTGCGGCTGCACGCATATTATACTATATATATTATATGTTATATATATATATTATATTATGTGAAGACTCCCTTTAATATCACTTTGAACACCTTACTAAATGGTATGTGGTCACTCATGTTCTGCATCCTCCTTGACTAGTAGTCGTAATGGTTATGTCAGGGTTGAGTGCATGCAATCCACAGTGCTCGGTAAGTTGCAATTTTGGCTATCGAACTCGCAGCGGTATTTCGTCTACATGAAGCAGATTTTACATTGTTTTAGCTTCTAAACTCTGCGAAGCAGCAATGGTTTTCAAGGCCCCAAAAAGTTAGAAGACTGTTACCAGCAGCTGTTCTTCAATTACACCGATTGCTTCGCGTGCGATGTAGTGTCACACTATGTTTTATTGATCGCGCTAGCATTTTGGCTTGTCTGCTTATTGCTAATTCCAGCCAACGCAATGTTCCATTTAAATGTGAGCAGAAAGCGACCGGCGCATATGGCAGTGGTCAAGAAACAATAGTAATTATAAATAAGTTTATTCACAAAGCTCAGGCATAACAATGCAGTAGAAATGTGTTTCAAGAGAGCGATAACGAACAGCATTTATACGAGATAAGATTAATTCACATTATTTCGTGTCTTCTCATTCAGCCCCTTACAGACAATTCGTGGAAAGAGTAAAGGAATGCAATCGAAAAAGGGGGTCAGAAGAAAAATCAGTAAAACACTAAGAAAATAAAGGTCATTGCCTGTGTCTTCCCGTGGTAAGGCAAGACTGGCTACAAAGTCTACCTGATTGCAAAGATTTGGTTTCATTCGTCTGGTGGCCGAGGTTTCACCGAAACGAAGCAAGCTCATGTTTAGTTGTCTGTTGATAACCTTGAATTCGTCACCTGGGTTTTCGCACAAGGTACAATCGAGCAGATGCTGAGCGATGGAGCTAACAGGCTATGGCAAGTACATGTGAATTGGTAAACACATGAGGCGGTAACCTGAGAGTGAGGCCCATCCAATTTGGATTCATGGAACAGCTTCTTGGTTTGATGTAACAACACGAGCTCAGGTGCGTAGTAGCACCATTTCATGGCTTGGCGTAATCGGTAGCACAATCTTCTGTCGTTCTGTTCCCCTTTGTTAGGTAGCATGATGAAGACTTTTCTTTGGATACCCATTCATGTTTGTTACTTAGCAACCTCCTTCCCATACCTGGCGCTGAATTTATACGGATAGCCGATATTACGCATGTTAGATTAGATGTATCGTAACTCAGCCTCTATTGAGTCTTCAGAGCATATTGGGTGTGCTCTAACAAAACAAGTTCCAACTAGGAATCGTTTATAGTTCATTAGACAGTAAGAACTGAAATGTAGGTATTGTCCGGTCCAGCTCGGTTTCCGGTAAATCGATCTTATGAGTGAACCGTCTGCTCTTCTTTTAAGTGAAACGTCAAGAAAATGAAATGAATCCTCTGATTCACTTTCCCTAGTGAACTTGATGTTAGGATGGTATTTGTTTAACGTTTCCAAAAGGACTTTCGGTTGTTGGACGTTTTCAACTATAACACAAGTTTCGTCGATATACCTAGTTTAAAAGTGTGTTTCTCCAATGACATCGCGTTATAAGTTACTCTCCAAATGCCCCATAAAGGTGTTAGCTAGAATCTGTCCCAGCTGGTTACCCATCGGCACGCCTTCAATTTGACGATACATATCCCCATCAAATCAAAATTGGAGGTCTTTCATACAAATGCTGAGTAACGTTTTCAATCGGTGTTCAGGTAGACCAATTTTGTCCGCACGCTTACTTATGATGTTCAATGTCTCATCCAAAGGAACGTTCGTGAAAAGGGAACAGACATCAAATGTTTTCATGTGCTTATCTTGAACATTCAAGTGTCGAATTTTGTCAACGAACGCAAGTGTATTTTGACTGTGCACCGCTAGCTCAGCAAGTACAGGCTCGATTCGTTTTGCCAACCATCGTGCCAGTTTCTGGTGCGGCGCCGCAACCCCTGAAAGAGTAGGACGCAGTGGAACCCCTCCTTTGTGCGTTTTTGGCAATTCATACATACGAGGAAGTCTTGAGACTCGGGGGCGGAGTTCCGCCATACGTTTTGCGTCGATTAGTCCCTCCTTGTGTAGTGTTCGTGGTTCAGGCGTTATCAACCTCGCTACATTTTCCGTTCTGTCTTTACCTGTCAGACATCTAACGAATTATCCCTCATTTGCGAGCGCCGATTGCATCTTTTGATGATAATAATTTTTACTCATGAAAACATCGTCAGAGCCTTTATTAATTCCAGGTAACACAACATTCTCATTTCGGCGCAGCTATTTCAATGAATCAAAGCATTCCTTCGTGAGAAAGCTTGATTCTTCTGCCTCTGTGATGCAAAATTGGTTAGCCAATTCCACTGCCTTGGCATTAAACCAACTGCTCGCGTCTGCAGTTGACAGTGTTAGACCAGAAAGTTGCTCTTGTAGGTGTTTAAACTGTGCTTCAACCCTTATGCGGTCACATTTACCAGGGTGAACAGAGAAGTTGAAATCCAGTGATAGCGCTTCAATTTGGTGGTGAATAAGCGGCACGTTCGACAGTTCACAACAAATTTCTGCGGGTTAAGCGGAACCTGATCATAAGAACGCTCAGCAGACAAAGTGTCTTGATGATAATCCCGTTTTGACTTGAAGGTCCCGCAGGAATTGATAAAATTTCGTGCGTCAAACAAGATTGAGACTATTCAAGTAAGGTTCAAAGCATCCAAAAGCGGCTTTCAGCTGTGCGATACGATGCACAGAAGCCTCAATCTGAAGCTTCGTGTATCGTCGCAAATTCCGAGAGTTAAATTGCAGATGGTCATTCCTTAGTGCTTTGACAAACCGACGCGGATACAAGGCACCATTACGCCTTTCTTGTAAGCATCAATACGTGCGGCTTCTCGTGAAATGGAACAACCTAATCACGAATTTATCCAGTGAACGAAACTTGTCAGGAGGGAGGCGTTTCTTTAGGAATTTCATGCAGACATTTCCCTTCAGAAATTATAAGAGAGCAAGAACGAACCACATTTATACGAGATAAGCTTAATTCGTAATATTCGTGTCTTCTCATTCAGCCGCTTACAGACAATTCGTGGAAAGAGTAAAGGAATGCAATCGGTAAAGGGGGTAACGAGAAAATCAATAAAACACTGAGCAAATCAAGGTCATTGCCTGTGTCTTACCAGGGTAAGGCAATACTGGCCAAAAGGACTACTGATTGCAAAGATTTGGTTTCATTCGTCTGGTGGCCGAGGTTTCACCAAAACGAAGGAAGCGCGCGTTGATTTTTCTGACGGTAACCTTGAACGTACATGAATGAATGTACATAAAATAGTGCTACTACACACCTGAGCTCGTGATGTTACATAAAAGCAAGGAGCTGTTCCATGAATCCAACTTGGATAGGCCACACTCTCAGGTTACCGCCTCATATGTTTACCAAATCACATGTACTTGCGGTAGCATGTATATTGACCAAACCGAGAGAAGACTATCAACTGGGATCATGGAAAGTGTTCCAGGGAGCCTGGCAAATAGTGAACCTAAACTCCCTCCAGCTTCGTCGCTCAGCATCTGCTCGATTGTACCTTGTGCGAAAACCCAGGTGACGAATTC